GTGGCCCTGGAGTATCTCTTTGGCTCTGCTGCCAGAGCTGAATAGGCCAGTGGTGACACTTGGTGAGACCACAGACATCTTCATAGATGCCATTAAGAATTTGAAAGAAGCTGAAACCGGTTTGGCTCAGTGGATAGAGCATCAGCCTGCGGACTGAAGGGTCCCAGGTTCGATTCCGGTCAAAGGGCATGTACCTGGGTTGCGGGCACATCCCCAGTAGGAGATGTGCAGGAGGCAGCTGATCAATGTTTCTCTCCCATCGATGTTTCTAACTCTCTATCTCTCTCCCTTCCTCTCTGTAAAAAATCAATAAAATATATTTTTTTAAAAAAAGAATTTGAAAGAAGGTGAAGACACATACCCTAGAAAAATAGATTTTTAAAGTTGTTGTTTTTTTCTCTCAATCCCAGGACTGCGTATGTCTGAGGTTACATGTGATATTGATTGGACTGTATTTGAGCACCACCATTTTCCAAATGTTTGGCAGCTCCCGTAGTTAAAAATATACCGACCCTGTTTACCTGGTAATATCCCTTCTATTTACTTCCCAAGAAAAATGAATGCATATATCCAAAAAGGGTTCTTAAAAAAAACGTTCAGAGCAATGTGATTTGTACCAGGGAAAAGCTGGATAAAATCCCCATGTCCATCAACAGAGAAGTAAGTGATACACAAACCGTTGTACAGTCACATCATGGACTAATACTCCCTGGAAAAAAACAACCACCTGTCTTTCCCCTCCTTCTCTTCTCCTGCTCCTCACCATGCTCCTTTTCCTCCCCTCCTCCTCCTTCCTGTTTCTCCTCCTCTTCTTCATTTTTTTTCCTGTCCGGGTCCATGAGGTTACTTAGTGGCTCTGTTTTCTCTGACTCTTAGCAGCTGCCCTCTTCCCCAGCTTCTCAGTCTCTTGTTTCTTACCAAGAACAAACAATAGCCCAGAGGGCAAAAGGCAGAGACTTAGTGTCATTCCAATGAGCTTCTCACGACATCAGCCTTCAAAAGTTTTACATATAATGGTGGTTGATGCCAAGCACGAAAGCAAATAAAAATAATATAATGCAGAATTACACGAGAACCAAAATAGAAGTATAAATACAAAATGATAAAATGAAAATTGTCCCCTTACTACCTTTGAAAGGCAAAAAACAAAACAAAACAAAAAAACCACCACCAACAAAAAATGTTGGGAGAGATATCTGATCCATTATTTAACTTAAAAATAATGAGCTTCATCAAAACAATTCTCAGACTTTGGTGTCTGAGTTTCCCATCGTGAAAGGACAGAACAGGAGTGATAGCTGTGTCCTTTTCCCCTCTTCCAAGAAAAAGCTGCAGCATGTATCAGTTACTCAGCCTGCCCTTATCTCAACCAATGGGAAAACGGGGGAAACTAGCCCAAGGCCAAGAGTATGCTAGCCACCCCCCTGTCTTTGTATAACCAGACCCTAGCTGCACCCTGCCCTTGCATCACTAGCCCCCCCGGCCCTCACTCAACCAACCGGAATCGGCCAAATCAGTGGTCAGAGTGTGCCCCCCCACCCCAAGCCCTATAAATTCTTTGTTCCCTTGGGACTCGGGGCTCTCTCTTGCATCCAGTAATGGAGGCAGGGCGGGTAGGGGACCAAGTCCCGGGCTTGAATAAAAGACTCTATGCTTTTGCATCGGACTCGGCTCCCTAGTGGTCTGTCTTGGGGGATCTTGAAATCTGGGCATAACAATAGTAGGAAGGAATCAAGGACAATTGGTCTCTATTTCTTCTCAGATGTTGCCTGACTTGCTTCTGTCCTCTAGTGGGCACCTGAGGGATTACTACAATTGTCCCAAATCCTGCATTTCAGGATTAAGAACATGAAAAACATTCTGTAGGCGAAAGAATCACAGGGAAAACCATGTCATGTTCTCTGAACATGTCATAAAAAGTACATTTCATTACAAACTGGCTTATACATTTATCCTGGGTTCTGTGTTGGTTTGACCAGCTAGTTGTCTGGTTAAATTGGAGGGATAAAATGATCATGAGGCAAAAAGGAATTGAAAAAAAGGAAGCGCCCTAGCCAGTTTGGCTCAGTGGACGGAGTGTAGGCCTGTGGACTGAAGGGTCCCAGGTTCGATTCTGGTCGGGGGCACGTGCCAGGGTTGCCGGCTTGATCCCCAGGATGGGGTATGCAGGAGGCAGCCAATCAATGATTCTTTCTCATCATTGATGTTTCTATCTCCCTCTCTCTCTCTGAAATCTATAAAAATATTTTTTTTTAAAAAAGAAGCAAACAGTATTGGGGACTTGCTGTGTATGAGGGACTGTGTTAAATGTTCAACATGCTTTAGTTCATTTAATCCTCACAAGAAACTGTACCATCACAGATAAAAGCCTGGATTAGAAGTGAGATCCACCTGGGACAGAATCCAGGTCTTGCTACTTATTAGCTGTGTGATCTTTGAAAGTAACCTTACTTTTCTCACTCCCAGTCTCCTTAACTTTAAAAGAAATGGTAAAAATTACTCTCAACAGTGCCGTGAGGGTCAGCAGAATCATGGAAGGAAAATGACTAGAAAGGTCCTGTAACACTGTGGTCTTCATAAATGAACTAAGTATTCATCAATAATAAAAAGGGAGTAGATTTTGTTTGGGGGGATCACAGCTATTTTTTAGGAGTGTTTATATTTAACTTTTACAATGACCATTTTGAGAGAGAAATAGAAACATCAACCGAGAGAATCACTGATTGGCTGCCTCCCACAAGCCACCCACTGGGGATTGAGCTCACAACCCAGGCATGTGCCCTTGACTGGAACCAAACCCAGGACCCTTCAGTCTGCAGGCTGACGCTCTATCCACTGAGCCAAACCAGCTAGGGCTCAGCTTATTTTTTTTTTTTATCCCTTTTTACTCATGATCATTTTAACCCTCCAATTTAATAAGGCCACCAGCTGGTCAAACCAACATAGAACCTGGCCAGCCAAATGTAAACTGTAATTTAAAATAAATTTTAGCCAGGCCAGTGTGGCTCAGTGGTTGACCATCAACCCATGAACCAGGAGGTCACTGTTTGATTCCCAGTCAGGGTATATGCCTGGGTTTCAGGTTTGATCCCCAGTAGAGGGCAAGCAGGAGACAGCTAATCAATGATTCTCTCTCATCATTGATGTTTTTATATCTCTCTCCCTCTCCCTTCCTCTCTGAAATCAATAAAAATACACATTTTAAAACAAAATTTTTAGCCCTGACCGGTTTGGCTCAGTGGATAGAGCGTCAGCCTGTAGGCTCAAGGGGCCCGGGTTCTATTCCGGCCAAGGGCCTTGGTTTCGGGCACATCCCCAGTAGGGGGTGTGTAGGAGGCAGCTGATTGATGTTTCTAACTCTCTATCCCTCTCCCTTCCTCTCTGTAAAAAATCAATAAAATATATTAAAAAAAAATTTTTTTTAAAGAAAAGAAAGAGATCAGTGATTGACAGGGATCGAGTAGGGAGGATGAGGAGTAACAGGTCCTGGGTTTGTCCTGGATGAGAATGTTCTGGAACTGGAGAGTGATTGTGATGTGATGTGATGGTCATAAGGAATTGTGAATGTTCTTAATGCAGCATTAGATTTTGAAGGATCATAGACTTAAATTATATTTTATTAAAATTAAAGTTTATTTTTATTAATATATTATTAAATTTTATTTAAAATACATCTTATTTTAACTGAATATTATACAAAACTACAGTAAAAGTTTGAAGATATGTATGCTAAACATAAATATTTAAAAATTGCATCTCAAGGGGGAAGCCCCCTCTGCCGTGGCAGCTACACAGGCTGCAGCCCAGGACCGGGGACCACGGGCCTCGCAGGAGCTGAAGGGAGTTGCCCACACGCTGCAGGTGGTTCTTCTGCCTCGTGAAGGTCAGTGAAAGCTGGGTCCGGAGCCCGCTCTGGCTCCGGAGAGGCCACTGGAGTCAGCGTTGCCTCCTGAGGTCTTTTTTTATCTGGCTCTGGAGCTGGTTCTGTAGATCCCAGAAGAGAACATGTTATCCCCATGACTGCCTCCATGTGCCTTCCAAAGACGGAACATCTCTCCTGTCCATCCATGGAGTCCCAGTGCCAGGGCGACCCCAGGAAGTCTTCCCAGGCTGCAGGCCATGGGGACAGTGATCTGAGCCGGCCCTGCCCCTGGCCTCTGGAAGCTCTTCTCTGTGTGGCCGGGCCCCATCTCCTCCCCACACGCCCACATCACCTCCCGGGGCCCCATCTCCTCCCCACACCCCACATCACCTCCCGAAACATAAATATTTAAAAATTGCATCTCAAGGGGGAAGCCCCCTCTGCCGTGGCAGCTACACAGGCTGCAGCCCAGGACCGGGGACCACGGGCCTCGCAGGAGCTGAAGGGAGTTGCCCACACGCTGCAGGTGGTTCTTCTGCCTCGTGAAGGTCAGTGAAAGCTGGGTCCGGAGCCCGCTCTGGCTCCGGAGAGGCCACGGGAGTCGGTGTTGCCTCCTGAGGTCTTTTTTTATCTGGCTCCGGAGCTGGTTCTGTAGATCCCAGAAGAGAACATGTTATCCCCATGACTGCCTCCATGTGCCTTCCAAAGACGGAACATCTCTCCTGTCCATCCATGGAGTCCCAGTGCCAGGGCCACCCCAGGAAGTCTTCCCAGGCTGCAGGCCATGGGGACAGTGATCTGAGCCGGCCCTGCCCGCCCACATCACCTCCCCGAGCCCCATCTCCTCCCCACACGCCCACATCACCTCCCCGAGCCCCATCTCCTCCCCACACGCCCACATCACCTCCCCGAGCCCCATCTCCTCCCCACACGCCCACATCACCTCCCCGAGCCCCATCTCCTCCCCACACGCCCACATCACCTCCCCGAGCCCCATCTCCTCCCCACACGCCCACATCACCTCCCCGAGCCCCATCTCCTCCCCACACGCCCACATCACCTCCCCGAGCCCCATCTCCTCCCCACACGCCCACATCACCTCCCCGAGCCCCATCTCCTCCCCACACGCCCACATCACCTCCCCCGAGTCCTCCTCACCCTCCGCGTCTGTGGGCTCGCGGCTCTCCAGCTCCGAGTCCTCCTCGCCCTCCACCTCTGTGGGCTCGCAGCGCTCCAGCTCTGAGAGGAGCAGCTGGGCCTGGCGCTCCAGGGCTGAGCCTGGGAAATTGAGCTCCAGGTAGGCCAGCAGCGTCACCAGGCCCGGAAAGTCTGGGGGCTGGAAAAAGTCCTGAGGGAACTGGTCCAGCCACATGCCCAGGATGGAGATGATGGCCCTGGGGAGAGACGTGGGCAGCAGAGTCTGAGCCTGGCCTCTCCTTCCACACTAACCTCCCCAGGATCCCTGTGGGGGCCTGGGGGCCTGTGCCTCCTGCTCCTGTCCATCTAGAAACCAGACCTACTCCTTCCCACCTTCAGTCTGGCAGTCCTGGCAGAGGTATACCTGGCCAGGAAGGAGGGGCTGGCCTTATATATTTGTTTATCAGGTTTTTTTATTTTAGAAAAGTAATCAATGTTCACTGTAGATATTTTAGAATGTGGAAAATTATAAAGGAGAAAGTTGCAATCACCCACAATATCAGTCCCCAGAAATAATCATTGCTCCAGCTCCGAGTCCTCCTCGCCCTCCACCTCTGTGGGCTCGCAGCGCTCCAGCTCTGAGAGGAGCAGCTGGGCCTGGCGCTCCAGGGCTGAGCCTGGGAAATTGAGCTCCAGGTAGGCCAGCAGCGTCACCAGGCCCGGAAAGTCTGGGGGCTGGAAAAAGTCCTGAGGGAACTGGTCCAGCCACATGCCCAGGATGTTAATATTTACATGTATTTTCCTCTAGTCTCTATTTTTTTCTGACAAAATATGGATAATTATGTATATTCCTTTCCATAAACTGACAATAACCTGAGACTCAATATAGTGTGGATGCTTTCTTGAGTAATTAAGTAGACTTTTTTTTTTAATTTATTTTTCAATTACAGGTGACATCCAACATTATTTTATATTAGTGACTGAGAGCTCTTAACCAATGGTGTTGTGGCAGCATAGTAAGAAGCTAGGAAAATCCCTGGGTAAGTGCAATGGGGAAACTGAGACAAGAAAATTAATCGCAAGACCTTATCTTCCTCAACCAAGGACACTTGAGAGCAAATGGTTTATACCTCTCCTCCCTAGCTTACATCACTCTGGCCTGGGAAAATAGAACAAAGACCTAGTTAATGTCATTTCTGCCAGCTAACCCCAAGGGCAGATGAAGTTGGGGAACAAATAATAATAATAAAAACCATTAAAGACAGACAGACCTAAGATAACAGTAAAACAGGCCAAAGAAGAACCCAAAACTCCCCTATACACTTATTTTAATGCATCAGCATATTAAAAAAAAAAAAATACACCTGGAAAGCTAATGAATACTCTGTTGAAACCCTCCCCTAAGATTCTTGTCTGCAGAAACAAAAAGGGATAGAAAGTCCTCAGGACAGCCCTGGTGGCCTGGGGACTGAAGGGTCTCGGGTTCGATTTCAGTCAAGGGCACATGCCTGGGTTGTGGGCTTGGTCCCCCGTGGGGGGGCGTGCATGATACAGCCGATCGATGATTCTCTATCATCATTGATGTTTCTATCTCTCTCTCCCTCTCCCCCCACTTCCTTTCTGAAATAAAAAAAAATATTAAAAAAAAAGATAAAAAGAAAGAATGAAAGCCCTCAGGACAAAGGCTCACGCCCATGCCACTTCCCGGGCATGAACATTTTATTTTTTCCTAACCTCTAGGGGTCCCGACAGGACTTGCAACCAGGGGAGCAGTAGGCAGCAGTAGCTCCACCCAGGCTCTGGTTCCTGTCTCCAAGGCCCCCCCCCCGTCTCCTTTTTTAAAATATATTTTTATTAATTTCAGAGAGGAAGAGAGAGATAGAAAACATCAATGATGAGAGAGAATCATTGATCAGCTGCCTCCTGCACACCCCCACAGGGGATGGAGCCTGTAATATGTGCCCTTGACTGGAATCAAACCCAGGACCCTTCAGTCTGCAGGCCGACACTCTATCCACTGAGCCAAACTGGTTAGGGCTTGTGTTGTGAAAACTTTCCTACACAAAGTCAAGAACCCACACACTACAGGCCAGCCTGAGGCAAACCTGCTCCAGGCTGGTCCCTGTCCAGTAACTGTGACCATCTGTCCCCATCTTCAGAGAAGACTGGCCCACTCTGTCAGTGTCCCTGCCCCCTTCCTCCTGGAAGGTCAACTCCATGAGGGCAGGAGGGGTGGTGTCTGCTTTGTTCATTGCACTCATTGGCACACCGTAGGTGCTCCAGGAATATCTGACTGATGAGCAAATCAATGGACTCTTTCTCCAGCCCTAACACCTTAAACTTTAGCTCCTGCACCGATGTGCTACTGATTCACTAGGTGCCCCATGTGCTGCCCCTCCTCCCACTGACACTCAACTCCCACAGGCGGGGAGCACCAGCCAAGCACCCACTGTGGAGGTTCTACCAGATTAGTGAGCAGGGTGCCCCCCACATCCCCTGTTCCAGGTCCCAGGGTGGGGGAGTGGATGCAGGGCTGGGTGGGGAGGGGATGGGGATGGATTTTCTGAGGGGCTGACTCTGTCCACTAACCTCCCAATGCTCTCCCACCACCCAATCCACATCCAACACTCTCTTTGACCTTCCCTTTTTTCTAGGTAAAGTCCTCAGACCTGGGCCCTCTTGCAGAAATCCCATGATGTGTGGGATGCAGGGTTCTGCCAGCACCTCCAATTCTTAGTCCCTATACTCCCCTCACGGTTCTGATCCAAAGCCCACTCACTTTTTCTGCTGGTCCACAGGCCCACCATCCTCTTCAGCATACGGGAAGATGCAGCCATACCTCACCCAGGACAGAGAACCCTAATGAAATCTCTAATCTCCTTTTCAAATGAGAAAACAGCTCAGCCCAAGGCCCCGAGGAAAGTGAGGGATGAGGCAGAGGCTTCCTCATGAGGAAGAGAAAATGACCAATTAGCACAACCACCACCCCTCCCGCAGACCTCTCCAATGGCCAGGCCCCCAGAGAGCACGTTACAGGGAGGACCCCACCAGGTTTCTATAAAAATCCTATGAGTTTGCTCCTGGGTTTACCCCGCTGTTCAGAGGAGCACACAGACTCAGGGCGCTGCAGTGACCTTCTGAAGACTCACAGCTAGCAAGTGCCCAGATGACCACTGTGCTGTGGAGGGGCAGGTGCTCACCTTGTCAACAGTAGGTCCAACACCTGTTGGGTGGTGGCGAAAGCTCTGTAGTTCCAGAGAAAGGTGGGGACGAAGGTGGGGTCCCTGCCCAGGAAGGCAGGCACCAGGTACTCCACCAGCTTGGCCAGCCAGTGTGCCCGGGCGGTCGGTGCCATACAGAGCTTATCTGTGTTCCCGGTTGATGCGGTTTGCCCCTGGGGTGGGACAGAGGAGGGACACGCAGTCAAAACAGCATCATGGACCACCAGGTGGGTTGGCAGCTGCAGCTCAGACTGAACCCATAAGCCCCCAGTGACTGGTGGGGAACATGAGTGCTCGCGGGAGAGAAAGGGTTCTTGGCATGAAAAGTAGAATTGGAGGAGAGGAATGATGAAACACATTAGTAACCTAGGTCGTATTTTGCTAGCTGAGGATGGACAGCACGTCCCTGTGTTAACAGTGTCATCCTTGGGATTTCTTTCTTTTTTTTTTTAAATATGTTTTATTGATTTTTTACAGAGAGGAAGGGAGAGGGATAGAGAGCTAGCTAGAAACATCGATGAGAGAGAAACATCAATCAGCTGCCTCCTGCACGCCCCCCACTGGGGACATGCCCGCAACCAAGGCACATGCCTCCGACCAGAATCGAACCTGGGACCCTTGAGTCCGCAGGCCAACGCTCTACCCACTGAGCCAAACCGGCTCTGGCTTCCTTGGGATTTCTGACAGAGCATCCCATGCTAAGATGAGAACACAGAGGCTTTTCCTAGAGTGGGAGGGGTCAGGATATTAGGACATGTGAGATGTTCAGGGCAGCATTGTTGACATGGCAACAGAAGGGGCTCAGTCCAGGTCCCACAGCAGGGAAGGGCTGGATCGCCATGGTAACCAGTCACCCCGGGGGTATGACATACAGCCTTGGGAGACCCCAGCTCCTGACCTGGAGGAACCACAGGGATCCATTCCTCTGGGGCAGAAAATGGCAACGCAACAGATATGGTACCATGAGGCCCGTGTCTTTTGGGGGGACAAGCATCCCCCAAACATGATGATGAGTAAAACTGGGAGAAGGAGTGTAAGGATTGTCAGGCCAACATGGACACCTGGGGATGGGCGTTAAACAAGAAAATCTGTAGAAAAATGCAGAAATACTCTTGACTGAACATGAGGTGAAATGATACAAAAGCCTCCTTCCTGATATTCCTACAAATATGCAGACAGTGACTTTGCTCCTGGCAGGAAGGGGCTGGACAGTGAGGGTGGGTTGGGGGAGAAGATGGAAACCCAGGTCCCTTTGGGAGCAGGACTCTAGGAAGGGCCTCCGGGGAGTAGCAGGGTGGCTTCTGGAACCCGGGCCCCTTTGACTACTGGGGTCCTGGAGGTCGGGCCACCTGGGCCTCTGCACTCACCTTGAGACTGAGCGGCACTCTTTTGGTAGCGTGGGGCCCCTGTGCCTCCTGCTGGGGGATGGCGTTGAGAACCCCATCAGTCGGCTCCTGTCTGACCTCCTGTGGGGAGCTCTGTAGAGACAGTGCCCAACCGCCAGGCAGAAAGCCTCAGAGCCTGGTCTGTGCTTCGCAGACCCTGTGGTTCATTCCACTCCAGACACATACACCACATTTTACTCAGACCCCCACGAAGGACAGAAAAGGCGTGACAGGCTGAGGGCCTAGGATTGTCATTGGCACAGAAAGGCCCCTTGGAAAGCCCCTCTCCACCCTGCCAGCCCTATGCTGGCTGTGGTCATGACAGCCTCACTAGGGTATGCCCCGCCCTGCAACCTGCCCAGGGGTCCTCCCTTCAGGTTCCCCTTCCCCCACGTGGAGAGGAGGGGATGGGGGCTGCCCAGGGATGGCTCCCAGAGATGGCCCGGCCTGAACTGGGCTGCCTGAGGCTGCCTGTGTCACCTGAGGGGATCTCCTGGAGAATGGCCAGAGACGCCGGGGATGAGGGTTGAACCAACGTCTCCAGAATTTTGAAAAACTCCCACTGTGGGGTCTCCGGGAGCAAGAGCCCCGATAACAAGAGCTCCAGCAAGAGGACATCTTCAACTCTCAAGTGTCTCTTGCCAAGTGAAGTGGCTGTTGGGCTGCTGCTAGACTGTGGCTGCCTGGTTACGGGGGGTTCTAAGTTCTTTAGGGAAGTGACCTCATTTCCTGTGATCCCCTTCCCTAAGACCCCATCTTCCTGATCCTGGATGAGCCATTGTGACTGTCAGGGCCTGTCTGTCTCCTGCCTGCACAATGATATTATTCCAGCATGTACTTCTTAGAAATAATGTTCAGGCACATGTGGAAAGATATGTATAAAGTCGGAGGAGTGCTGTCATGTATAGGAAGTTCCTCCCATCTGTATTTTCTTTCTGTTGTCACCTCCTCTGTGTATGCTCCTCTTAGTATCCCTCCCATAGTCGATACATCGAGAGAGAGAGAGAGAGAGAGAGAGAGAGAGAGAGAGAGAGAGAGAAACAGAGAGGCTGAGATCCAACCACCCCAGTGGCCCTGTTCCCAGCATATCTTACGCCGAGTGTAGAGTATTCCCGGTGGAGTTAAACACACACAAACACGCACACACATACGCACATACACAAAACTGCAGGCAGGAGCTCCTCCTCTGACCACACCGAGAATGTGTGTGTGTGTGTGTGTGTGTGTGTGTGCATGCGCACGCCAGTACTCATTTACTGGATCCCAGAAAAATAAAGCCCCCACATAGGCAGAAATAGGCAAGAGCTTCCCAATATGTTAGGATTTCTAATTTCCAAACCAACCTTATGGGAGAGATTAAAACCCTTGCCTAGGAGTTTGGAACACTCCTGACCTCTGTACTGTGCCTGTTATGTATCCTGGCTAGTCCCTGGATCTCTATGGGCCTCAGTTTCCCAAGTATCCAGTGAGGGTGAGATTCAGAATTGTATAAGTTTAGCATAAAAGGGGCCCAAACTCCTCCACCCTGGGTAGCTATGGAGAGGGGTGCACCCCAGTGTTCCCTGACCAGGCCTCTCCTCAGACAAGGACTGTCCTAGAACCCAAGGCGGGATTCAGGAGCTCAATACTCACTCACTGAACTACCGAACTTGGGATGAGGCCTATGCTTTTCTAGTGTGAAATGACAGGGCAATGACTTCTACTAGAAGGCACCCCCAAAACACTCACTCTGACAGAATTTATTCTGGTCTAACGGCAAGCCTGGGAAGAGGTCTCAGTCTGGTGTGGGCTTTTATTGTTGAAAGGTCCATGAACCCCATAACACATATGCCAGGTCTTTTTTTTTTTTTTTTTAACATATTTTATTGATTTTTTACAGAGAGGACAGGAGAGGGATAGAGTAAGAAACATCGGTCAGCTGCCTCCTGCACACTCCCACTGGGGATGTGCCCGCAACCAAGGTACATGCCCTCGACCAGAATCGAACCTGGGACCTTTCAGTCCACAGGCGGATGCTCTATCCACTGAGCCAAACCGGTTAGGTCATATACCACATCTTAACCTGGCCAACAGAGGGCAGTGCATGGCTGCTCGTGCCTACAATATTGACCTTTAAATTTAACAAGTTCGCCTTCTTCAAAAGAAGACCCAATATATATGCTGTCTACAAAAGACCCACTTCAGATCAAAAGGCACACACAGACTCAAGGTTAAGAGATGGAAAAAGACCCCAGTTGGCATGGTTCAGTGGTGGAGCGTTGACCTGTGGATTGGGAGTTCACAGTTTGATTCCCAGTCAGGGCATATGCCCGGGTTGTGGGCTCAGTCCCCAGTGTAGGGCATGCAGAAGGCAGCCAATCGGTGATTCTCTCTCATCATTAATATTTCTCTCTCTCTTCCTCTCTAAAATCAATCAAAATATGTTTTTTTAAAGGATATAACTCCTATAAACATTTATGCACCCACCACAGGAGCACCTAAATATATAAAGCAAATATTGATGGGCATAAAGGGTGGGATCAACAGTAATACCATCATAGCAGGGGATTTTAACAACCCAATGACAACAATGGATAGATCTTCCAGACAGAAAATTAAAACAGTGGCCTTAAATGACACATTAGACAAGATGGGTTTAATTTGTATTTTCAGAGCATTACACCCCAAAGCAGCACAATATACATGCTTTTCAAGTGCACGTGAAACATTTTCCAGGATAGATCACATGTTAGGCCACAAAACAAGTCTCAATAAATTTAAGATTGAAAGCATATCAAGAATCTTTTCTTCCCCAGTGGGGGGCGTGCAGGAGGCAGCTGATCCATGTTTCTCTCTCATGGATGTTTCTGGCTCTCTATCCCTCTCCCTTCCTCTCTGTAAGAAATCAATAAAAAAAAAAATATATATATAAAAAAAAATTTTTCTGACCACAACAGTATGAAACTAGAAACCCACTACCAAAAAAAAATATATTGAAAAACACAAATACACAGAGGCTAAATAATTGAAAAAGTAATTTTTTTTTTTTTTAATGGAAGTGTTTTCTAGGAAGGAGGTGGGTCAAAGACATCATTAGAAAAGAAAAGTGCAAGTTCATTGGAGGAAAGTAAGAGTTCAGGATGACAATGGCTGTTCATTGGCTGAGCAACACTTTTTCCCTTGACTGGGCTTGTTGCTGGGCGAGAAGAAAATCTTCCTTCCCCTTAGGCGGGAGTGAAGTACAAGCACTTTCTGTTAGAGGTGCAAGGTCCTCTCTTCTTGTTCAGGGCATGAGAGCCCCCTCTAGAGACATTCCGGTCTCCAGTTGTAATTAAAATTTCCTTTACTAGTTTTCACGGTTCATGGCTTCCATGTGAGTCACCGCCTAAAAGCCTAACTAACTGAGAGGGTTAAGAACCCGTGACCCATTCCGTACACAGTTCTCTGAGGGTGAATAGTTGGGGTGGGCGTCTAGCATGGCCGTTGGGGAGTCAGCCACAATTCCAGGGTTCCCCAGTCAGAACCACCGGGCTGCGAATGCAGTGGCCACTCTTTGTAAGGAAATAAAGCGCACACAGGGAACCAAGGAGCACTAGAGCATTTTGGCTTGCAATTCAGCTCATTTAGTACAGCTGCTGAGGTTTCCAGGCCTCCATCCACGAAGACAGTGAGCCTGCTGGCAGGTTTGTTGTGAGTGCCTGTATACCTATGGCGGCTGGAGGGAGAAATGGTTCGATTTATTTTTCATCAAAAGGGGGTTATGCGAACTTACAGTGAATTTCCATCTCCAGTACCCATAATTTTCCAGTTATTTTTTATATCATCCATTGGTTCTTTTCTTCCAGTAGCTTTGACGAACGGAGGCAAAACTGAAACACGGAAGGAGAGAGCAAAAGAAAAGGAAGCTACAGAGGGGGGCCAAGCGCCCGGACTTTTGTCCCGCGGTCCCTTTAAGAGAAGAACCTCTTGGGACCTGCAGTCCCAACCGACCCCAGTTTTAACCGAAACCTAACCCGGACTTCCCCCTCTTGACTCAAATAAGACCAATTTTGGATTTTCCCTCCCCTGTTGACCAATCAGAGTCTGTTACCAGGCAGACCTTAGCTGCCGCCCGGGCGAGCCCGGCGCCTTCTGTCTCCGGGTGGCAGCAACGACCAATGACAGAGCAGGCCCTCCGAGTATCCGGGCAGATCGGGGCTGCTCCAGCCAGTCAGAAAAAAGAAAATAAAGCAACGCACGAGCCCGCCGGGCCAGGACCGTGGGGCTGGGCTGGAGTGAAGGTGGCTGCGAGGTAGTTTCTCTTTCTCCCTTACCTTTGTCGTGGCTCGTGCGGGAAGGCGGCTGTTCGCAGATGGGAGGGGGCCGTAGGAGCCGGGAGGAGAGGAGAAAAACATCTCGGCTGCCTTTCCGACAGCGTCTTCACCCGTGTGCACGTGCCCCGAACCTGGGACCGCATCTCCCCACCCGGGTTTCCTGCGCCCAGCCCGGGAGTTCCGCTACCCCGAACCCCCCACTTGGCAGCAACCCGGGGCTGGATGGCGGGGGAAGGGCAGCGGGCGGGGGCGCGCGTCGGGACGGGGTCGAGGTTAAGTGATGAGAACTTGGGCCCGGTTTCTTCCCCCCCTCCCCCCTCCCCAGCCTGGACGGGCAGAATGCGTTCGTATCCTTTCCGACCTCCCGGGCGTCTGGTAGAGAATTAGATAACTTCGTCTTGCGGTGGTTGTTTTTGAGGGAGAAAAGGGCAGCATGAGGTCAGAGTCAGAAATGACAATTTCTCCTCGCGTGGATTCCCGAGCCTCCTGTCTCTTCCTTTACGGTTTTTCCACATATGGGAGGCTGCAAGGAGGTGGGGCAGATAGGGTGGAGATGGCAAAGGGCTTTGGGGGTATATCTATATATCTATAGGCCTGGAGAAGTAATGGAGTAATTTCTAATTTTTGGAGAAGGCAAGTGGTGAGAAAGAAGAAACAAAAACACTGGAGAAATTCGGAGGCTTGCTCCCTGCTCCTCTTTCTGGCTAGAGAGATGAGGATGGGGGAGCGGGGTGTCTCCAGGGAAGGGACGTTGAGTTGACTCGCCTGTCTCCGGCCAGCTCCCGCCCTCATGCCAGGATGGCCGAAGACGAACCCGACACCAAGAGCCCAAAGCCCGCGGGCCGGGCCCCCTCAGGCGGTGCCGAGGCGGGGGAGCCCACCACGCTTCTGCAGAAGCTCCGGGGTACCATCTCGTAAGTGCTCGTGGCCACCTCCAGATCTTGCGTAGCTCCCCAGTGTAGATCCCTGGAGCACCCCGCTTCCGCTGCAGATGAACTGCCTCTCCCTGAGCAAATGCATCCGACCAGGGGGAGCTTCTTGGCGGGGTAGCAGTTCTTGAGCACCTGCCGGACCACGGCGTCCTCGTCCCCTCCCTAGCAGTCAGACACGGGATGGGGGGACATCTCATCTGACCCCCGCTTCTTCCTCTTCTCCACAGGAAGGCCGTGCAGAACAAAGTAGAGGGAATCTTGGTAAGTATTTTGAGGGGAAAGGGCAATAGAGAGATCGAGTTGGTGGGGGATGAGGTTGGTGAGGACATGAGTAAGGTAAAGGTGTTTGTGGGAGAGGCAGTGATGTCTACCCTGTCCGGAGCTAATTGGCTTTGCAACTTACTGCCAATTCGACCTTGAGCACCTCACTTCACCTCTCTCTGACCTGTTGTATGGAAGCCCAATAGAAATGAAATCAGTCGATCCCCTCTGCTCCCCCTGTCACCGTGGTGACCCATACGGGGTTCCTCAGAGCACAGCGGGCACCCAGCCTTAAATCATTCTCAGGACTTTTTTTCAGTCTGACAGCCTCTAAGTCAGCTAGACGTTTTGGTAAGGATCGGAGGGTCCTTCTTGGCCTTATTGTTTCTCTTGCCTCTGTTCTTCCTTCCCTCAGCAAGATGTACAGAAGTTTTCAGACAATGACAAGCTGTATCTCTACCTTCAGCTCCCCTCAGGGCCCAGTACTGGAGACAAAAGGTATGTTTGGTGCTAGGCTTTTAGATGCCAGAGGTTCTGATTCTTAAAGGCTCGCTGGGAAAGGGTGCGGTGAATAGGAATACTCATGATGGCTCTTCTTTTTTTTTTCTTCTTTTTTAAAAAAATATATTTTAGTGATTTTTTACAGAGAGGAAAGGAGAGGGATAGAGAGTTAGAAACATCGATGAGTGAGAAACATTGATCAGCTGCCTCCTGCACACCCCCTACTGGGGATGTGCCCGCAACCCTTTAGTCCGCAGGCCGATGCTCTATCCACTGAGCCAAACCGGTTAGGGCATGATGGCTCTTTTTGACCAAGAAGAAACGTCCCTGTCCTGCACTGAGTTAGCGGAAGTAGATTCTGAGTGAAGTGACTTGGTCCAGCACTACCGAAGTGGTAGTCTGGATAGAACCAGGACAACTGTTGGGAATTTAGTAACAGTTTTCTTTTTAACTCTTTTGCAGCTCAGAGCCAAGCACACCTAACAATGAGGAGTACATGTATGCCTGCAAGTGGATCCGAAACCACCTGGAAGAGCATACTGACACCTGTCTACCAAAGCAAAGCGTTTATGATGCCTATCGGTGGGTGGATAGGGGGAGTGGAAGGGTGGGTTGTCTCTGGAGAGCTCCCTGCCTTGGATGAGCCTGACTTTTTAAAAAGCTTTTCCAAACTTCATCCCCAGGGACCCTCTGAGCCCACCCATGACCTCCTTCTCTGAGTATCTTCCCACTCTGCCCCCACCCCTCACTCAGGAAGTACTGTGAGAGCCTCGCTTTTTGCCGCCCACTCAGCACAGCCAACTTTGGCAAAATCATCAGAGAGATCTTCCCTGACATCAAGGCCCGAAGGCTTGGTGGCCGGGGTCAGTCCAAGTATCCTTGACTGGAGAGCTTGGGGCCAGAGGACCTGGGGAGGAAAACCTACGGATATGGAGAGCCCGGAGTAGAAACAGCCCATCCTTGCTAAGGGGCTTGGTGATCCCCAGATGTTGGTTTCTCCTTAACTTACATCAGATATTGCTACAGTGGCATACGAAGAAAGACCTTGGTATCTATGCCACCCTTGCCTGGCCTTGACCTCAAGGGCTCTGAGAGTGTAAGTAACAACCCTGAGTGCACTCTTCTCTCCAAGGTAGAAATCAGAGGTCTTTGGGACATGTTTTGAAGACTGACACAGCCCTAGGTGATTCTGCACATAGCTTCTGAGTATATAGGATGTGCCCCTCTGCCCACCCTATAGCTGAGGCAGAGGATGAAGAGCATATGTGGGTTTCCGGGACGGGACGGTACAGGCTAATCCCACTCCCAGTTTGGTCTTACTATGGTCACCGTGGATGTTCAAGAGGGGCCAAGGGTCCTTGAGTTTGGAGTATTATGAGGCATGTCCTTCCCCACTGCAGCCGGAAATGGGCCCAGAAGTAACCCCAGCACCTCGGGATGAACTGGTTGAGGCAGCCTGTGCCCTGACCTGTGACTGGGCAGAGCGAATCCTGAAACGGTCCTTCAGTTCCATCGTTGAGGTCGCCCGCTTCCTGCTACAGCATCATCTCATCTCTGCCCGATCTGCACATGCCCATGTGCTCAAGGCCATGGGGCTTGCCGGTGGGTGGACCCTGTCTTCTGTCCTGAGAAACCCTCAGCCACTTTCAACTTCAAAAGCCCTCCCATGTACTAGGATAGAGACACCTTGAATTTGCCTTCTATTCCTAGAGAACCTTTTAGGACATGCCTTAGTCCACCTTCTTTCCACTACCTCCACCAGTCAGAATTGCCACGCTCCTCCATTTCTGTTACCTCCTCAACTTACTCCTTTTTCTGGCACTTCTGCAGAAGAGGATGAACATGCCCCTCGGGAACGGACATCTAAATCTAAGAATGGTGTGGAGAACCTAGAGGGTGGAGCCCAAAAGAAACCAGAGAGACCGACCCAGGTAGGAGGTTGGAGCCCCTGACCTTGCTGCCCTGTCCTTCAGGCTTAATGTACCTTCCTCCGTGGGCCCCATACTGTCACCTCCTGTGCCTGTTTCCTCCGGTGTCCAGGCTTCCCATTTACTGTGGTCCTCTCTTTGCTTCTTAGCCTCCTCAGGAGCTGGAACCCCGAGCTGGGGCTGGTCCCTCAGCACATGGAGAACGGAAGAAGACTGTAGTAGAGAGTCCGGCCCCAGCAGCCAATAACCCACAGGTTAATGCCCTGATGGCCCGGCTGCCTCTGCTCCTCCCCCGGGCCCCTCGCCCAGTTATTCAGCAAATCGCCGTCTCTCCACCTCTTGTGGCCCCCAAGCTTCCTTCAGGCACTCTGAAATTGACTGCACTGCCTATGTCCAGTAGAGTTAGGGGAACCCAGGCAGCTGTGCCCATCATTAATATGATCTTACCAACTGTTCCTGCTTTGCCTGGACCTGGACCTGGACCTGGACCTGGACCTGTGCAAGCTCCACCTGGGGGGCTCCCTCAGCCCCTGGGCACAGAGAATAGGGAGGTCGGCATAGGTGGTGACCCAGGACCTCATGACAAGGGTGTCAAGAGGACAGCCGAAGTAACTATGAGTGAGACCAATGGGCAGGACCCACCAGCAAAAGCTGCAAAGCAGGATATAGAGGATACAGGAAGTGATGCCAAAAGAAAACGGGGGCGCCCTCGAAAAAAATCAGGTGGAAGGAGGGAAAGGAATTCTGCCCCTGATAAGTCAGCAGCTGCCACGGTCTCTGCCCAGTCCTCAAGGTTACCACGGGAGACGTGGGCTACTAGAGAGGAAAGCAACTCAGCTGGAGGGTCAGAGAGGCCAGGGCCAGTGGGAAAGGCCGAGAAGGGGACGGTGCTCGCCCAGGGTCAGGAAGATGGTGCTGTTTCTAAGGGAAGGGGCCCCAGTTCCAGTTCCCGCCATGCCAAAGGAGGGGAAGATAAAATTCCCCTTGTCAGTCCAAAAGTGAGTGTCATCAGGGCCAGCAGAAGCCATAAGGAGGCTCTTCATTTGGGAAAGGGAGAGGTGGATACTGTAGCACAGGGTAATAAAGATTTAAAGGGGCATATGCTTCCAGGTTCCTCATCCCATGAGCAGAAAGACCCCAAAGCGACGCCCCCATGATAAATACGTAGAAAAGAGTGTTTAAACCAGATGTGAACTCTGCCTGTCTGCCTTGTAAAGCCCTTCTGACTGCTTCTTTGGCTCTTTTCCAAAGGGAATTCATGCTCTTCTGTATAGACAGCTGAGGCACCCTGTCTTACACAGTGCCTGCTTCCTGCCTCTGACCTTTTCAGCTCAAAACCCTTGGCTTTAGAGTCGCTAGTAAGTCTGATCCATGTGTTATCCTGTGGGAACGATAGGGGTGGAGTAATATGATGAATGTATAAGCTAGGAATCTTCTGGTTTTAAATAATAGAAAACCTAACTCAAACTGGTTTAAAGGAAAGATTTACTGGCTCGTGTAACTGTAAAGTCCACAGGTAGTGCTGGCTCCAGGTAAAGCTGATCCAGTGGCTCAGCACCTCTCTAAATACCTGATTGCCTCGCCACCCGCACTGTTCTACCTTCTGTAGGATCATAGGCACCCTGGGCTGCCTGTGGCTGCCAGCACTCCTAGAATTATAATGTCTCCTCATTTATAGCCAATCAGAAACAGGGCATCTTTCTGCCAAGAATCCTAGCAAAAACCCTACGATTCACTGATTAGGCAAACTGTCACATGCCCACCCCTACCCAATCCCTGTGGCCAGGGGGATGTTGATGCTAATTTGCATCGTCTACATCAGGACTGCACCTGTGGAATGAGGGTGGGATTAGCCTCCTTAGAAGCTGGGAGGGGAAGTTCCTGGGGAGGGGCTGACACCTGGCCACTACTATGAAGTACAGGTGATTTTAGCTTGCTAGGTTAAGATTAGCTATACCTGCTTTCCCCCTCGTAGTATTGCGTTTTTCTTACTGCAGCTGTAACCTCTCTTTATTTTGACCTCAGAAGAAATGAGAGGAAAGTCGCTCTCCTTTGGGAGCTATCTCTCCAGTCTCTTTTCCTGTTTTTGAACTTTAGTTTCTCATTTCTGCCTCCCTGTCTCCCACCCTTCTGCCACTATCACTAAATAGAGTGAGATTTGCTTCTAATCATTTTATTAAATTCATTCTGTATCCACCAGGTGTCAGTCTCTGGTACATATGTCAGGACTAGCCAGGTGTAGGCCAGCTGTGTGGAAGGAGGTAGCTCTGTTTCAGGGAACACCAAGAGGAAGGGGATCCAGACCCTTCAGGTGGGCCAGTGGGAAAAGCAGTAAGCCAGCCAATATTGATCAAGGACCTACTTTGTCTTTTGCATAGGGTAGCTCCTGTCAGGGAATCTTGGTTCTTCCCAAGAAATTTAGATTTTCTTTCAGGGAGACTTCATTTGTTCATTTATTTCCACCACAGTAGATTTTTAAAAATTATAATATGTAATGTTTGATATCTATAAAATATATTTAACATGAATAAATTATGAAGTATAATAATTAAATGACTACCTATGACCCATTACCCAATCTATACATTAAAACATTAGAAATATCATTGACTTTCTTGTGTTCCTCCCCTATCCTAGCCCCTGCCTCTCCCTAGAGTTAACTACTGTCCTTAATTTTGTGTTTATTAATTACCTAATATATATATGTATATATCTTTTAAAAATGTATTGTTCATTTTTGCTTTTAGCTTTATGAAAAATTTATTCTCTAATAATATCCTGTAGTTTGCTTTTTTTCACTTAACATTTATTTCTAAGGTTCATCTATATTGTAGATAGCTATGATTCATTCATTTTCATTTGTATAATATTCCATCAGTACATAAACCACAAGTTATTTTTCCATTCACCTATCAATGGGCTCTGGGTTATTTCCAGTTTTTGCTATTACAAACAATGCTGCTATGAGCATACTTGTGTATGTTAGTTCTTTTGTTTTTAGCAAGATTTCTAAAATGGTTCTTTTGGTCTGTATATCCTGAATTGGGGACTGTTTCCTCCCTCCTGGAAGAGTTTATATCAGATTGAAATGAACCAGCCCCTGAAAGTGGTTAAGACTCACCTGTTAAACCATTTGAGCCTGGCATTTCTTTGTGGGGAAAATTTTAACTATTAATTCAATCTCTTTAATAATTATAGGCTATTTGGGCTTTCGTTTCTTTTTGAGTATAATTAGGTAAAGTGTTTTAAGATTTTGTGCATTTTTTGTCTTTTTTAAAAAAAGAAATGAACCGAATTGCCTTTTTTTGTTGTTAATCCTTACCTGAGGATATTTTCCCATTGAAAGAGTGGAAGGGAGGCCGAAACCGGTTTGGCTCAGTGGATAGAGCGTCGGCTTTCGGACTGAAGGGTCCCAGGTTCGATCCCGGTCAAGGGCATGTACATGGGTTGTGGGCACATCCCCAGTGGGGAGTGTGCAGGAGGCAGCTGATCGATGTTTCTCTCTCATCGATGTTTCTAACTTTCTATCTCTCCCTTCCTCTCTGTGAAAAATCAATAAAATATATTAAAAAAAAAGAAGAAAGAAAGAGTGGAAGGGACGGGGAGAGACCGAGAGAAACATCAATGTGAGAGAGACACATCAATTGGATGCATCCTGTATGTTCCCTGACCAGACCAGGAATAGAGCCTGCAACGTAGGTATGTGCCTTTGATTGAAATCGAACCCAGGACCCTTCAGTTTGCAGGGTGATGCTCTACCCACTGAGCAAACCCAGCCAGGGCTAATCTTTATGAATCTTGATGGTGAATTCATGTTCGGGGTTTCTCAGAGGTGGGGGTGATATAGGACATGTGCAAGTACCCAGTGCAATGCCTGGCACAGTAAATGCCTCATAAATGCTCCTCCCTGAGCCATGGAAGGGAGAGAGACAGAGAGCCAGAAACATCGATGAGAGAGAAACATCGATCAGCTGCCTCCTGCACATCTCTCACTGGGGATGTGCCCGCAACCCAGGTACACGCCCTTGACCGGAATCGAACCTGGGACCCTTCAGTCCGCAGGCCGACGCTCTATCCACTGAGCCAAACCGGTTTCGGCCAATTTTATGTCTTTTAAATGAAAAAAATTTGGGGTTTTTTGCCTCTGCTCTGTGTAGTCATGTCCTCTTTTTCATTTCTATTGTGCTTTCTTTTTTTTCCTTTGATCAACTGCATCAGAAATTTGAAATTTGTTGTTTCGTCTACAGTGTATCTTTTAAAAAAAAAATAATTTATTGATTTTTAGAGAGGGAGGAAGGGAGAGGGACAGAGAGGAGAAACATCAGTGTGAGAGTACAACATCAATCAGCTGCCTCCCGCACACCCCCCACTGGGAATTGAGCCCACAACCCCACTGGCAACCTTTTGGTGCACAGGAGGATGCTCAACCCACTGAGCCATGCCGGCCAGGGCTACTTACCTATCTTTAGTCATTACTTTGGGCTTTGTTGATCCTCTCCCTTATGTATTCGTTTTCCATTACATTAATTATGGATCTTATCTATAGTATTTCTTTTGGTTTCTTTAGATTTAATTTTATGTTCTTTTATAACTTCTTAATTTTGATACTTACCTAATTAATTTTCAAACTGTCTTTTTTTTTTTCTAGTGTAAGTTTTTTTAAGGACCTGCTTCTCTACATTCCCCAAGTTTTCTGTTGTAAAGTATTTTGTTATTCTAAGAATATTTAAATTACCTTTATGACTTTCTTGATTGATGAATTATTTCAAAGAGTTTTATAATTTCCAAGTGCCTGAATATTTAAAAATATATCTTTTTTTACATTTTCAGCTTAATCTTCTGTGCTCAAAGAATGTGGTCTTTGTGATACCAGTTCTTTGAAATTTGTTGGCATTGTTATTTTATATTCTGTAACTTACCTTGGATGTCTAAGTCTGTTTTGTTGTTTTGCCTGTGGTAGCTTGTTTCCTTATATATTTTCCATTTTTGGGTTTCGAGCTCATTTTGTTAAATTTAATCTACAGGAATCCAGAGGGTCTCAGTTGTGGGTACCTTTCTCCAGAGAGGATTTGTATTTGCTTCCACTAGGAGCCAAAAGGTGCTTTTGACCTGGGACTATGCTAGCCCCTTCAAGAGTCACAGTTTAATTCAGGAGTGCCAGGTTTGCTCCCCTTCCTTGGTTAGGCCCAAGGTTTAGCTTCTCACAATACTGGTATTGGCATTTGTCCTAGGGCAAACCTGCTTTTCCTACTGCACGTTGATCATCCTTCATAGATTTCAGCTTGATGTTATTTTTTTCCTTCTTTTTGTGATTTCCCTTTCTAGCAAGCTCAGCAATGTGCTAAATATCATGCTTGCCATAATTTGTCCAGGATCGAGTTGTATTTTAATGGGAAAGCCCTTTATCCATGCTGTCAGAAGTAGGAGTCGATTACTGTGTTTTAATACTTTCCTTCTTGTTTTTTAAGTGCTAGGTGTTTGCATTTTAGAAGCTAGTAGACTTGGGCTCTGTTTTCAAGTCAGTAATCACAGCACAGTGTGAGTGAGTTACGTTAAGAGTAGCACAGAGAGCGGTGGTAACCCAGAAGAATAGTACGTAACTCAGACATGGATCAGGAATGACTTCCCAGTAGAGGTGAGTAGGAATTTAGCTGGACAAGTCTAACTCTTAAATAAGAACAGAACAACATAAGACATGATAAAAAGAGCTAAATCATGCTACCCACTCTACTGCATAAGAGCTGAATGTGAATTCAGAGAGGTCACTTTGGACTGAGTAATTTGGGAAGGCTTTATGGAAAAGTTAGGCGTGAGTTAATCCTTTAAGGTAAGTAGACAGATTGGTGGCAAAGAAGAGGGCATTCTAGGAAAAGCAGGGTTTTGGGGGGGTGGGCATGGCAGAATGACCCAGTAAAGAGACCTGGCAGGCAAAATGTGTATGAGCAACAGCAGGAAATAAACTAAAAGAATACACAACCAGTGTTGATTGAATGAATGTATAAAAGGTATAAAGTCTGCATTCTAGGATGAGGGAATGGAGTCAAAAGAAACCAGCCAGGCATCGGTTGCCTTTATCCATGCGGGAAGGGATGAGGGACTGGACAAGGCTTCTGACACATTAGCGGTGATAGACATATGGAAAAATAAATCACTGGTGATGGGATAGATAGTTTTTAGGAAGTCCAATTTTAAAACACTATTTTTAAAATATGAAACAAGTTATTCTGTAGTCCAAGCAATCTTCAGTTCATTAGATGAAGGGCTAAGCTAAGATTTTGGGGACTGTACTGCTTCCTCTACCTACCATTTCTTATTCTCTTCCCAATACTCTGTTCCCCATTACCTTACCTCCCACCCCATGTCATCTTCCATTTTAGCTCTATCATAAATGAAGTTAAAGGTAATTTATAATTTACTAAAATTTGAAATAATATTTTGCTGTTAAACTAAGACAAACTCTATGTCTAGTCTATGTCTCCAAATAAATTTATTGCCCACTTTTGTGGGTAAAAACTTTCAAAGCAAATGGCCACATTCACTCACATACCAAACAGAGGAATTAACGTCATTATATATTCATCTAAGTAGTTTGTCTCATGTTATAGTTTCTCAGTAGGTCTACTTCTTTGTCTAGGATCATCCTGCTTACTCCATACTATAAGATAAAACTAAACATAACATAATTAACAAAGCAGTATTTATCAATTGTTCATAAGGAAACTTTTTTACTGGAAAGAGTCTGAATTTAGTTTAAATCTTAGCTTTACCACTTTCCATACGATTTTGAACATTTATTTAGTCCAGTTATTTCAAACTGTAGATTGTATCCTATTAGTAGACTGCAAAGCTGATTTTGCAAGATGCAAACTTTAAAAAGTGAAATAAAATAGAAAATATCAGAATGCATTACATATAGTAAAGGTAAGTATTGTTTTATGAAACGTATCTCAGTAACATGTCTGTATTCTTCACTGGTCATGACATAAAATATATTTCCAATTAAACCGAAGCAGTGACCCTCTTTTCTTTCACCATTTACCCTATATTATTGTCCCAATAATAGTAATATAGTACTACACATAGTAGTAACCTGTACTCTTTTAATCCTCACAAACCCCCGTGGACAGTTAATATTCCTGGATCCACTTTGCAGACATAGAAACCTCAGTACAAAGACTGTTAAATCAGTTATCCCAAATCAAACAGCCTATAAGGGAGACCTGGACTCAAATAACTAGCCCCCAACCCCCCGCTGGTGTTGCTCAGTGGTTGAGCTCAACCCAGGAACCAGGAGATCACCTGTTAGATTGCTGGCTGGACCCCTAGTGGAGAGGGGGATGGAGTGCTGCAGGAGGCAGCAGATAGATGGTGTTTCTGATGTTTCTATCTCTCCCTCTCTCAAAATCAATAAAAATACAAAATAAACACTAGCCTCGATGTAAAATAAATAAGGCCCTATGACGGTTGGGACAGAGGTTCTGATGGAGAGAGCTTCCAATCAATAAAAATGCTGGCAAATACACAAAACCAACAACAGAGGTCATTTGCAGGGTTGGGTTTGTTTATTTATTTTTAATTGATTTTAGACAGGAAGGGAGAGGGGAAAGAGAGAGAGAAACATCAATGATGAGAGGGAATCATTGATAGGCTGCCTCCTGCACACCCACAACCCCAGGCATGTGCCCTTGACTGGAATCCAACCCAGGGCCCTTCAGTCCACAGGCCAACTCTCTATCCACTGAGCCAAACCAGCAAGGGCTGCAGGGTTGCTTTTGTTTATTCGTTTAGTTTTATATGATTTTGTTCTGTTTTGAAGAAAGGGTTGTGCCCTCCAAGCCTTTGTCTTTTCACTCACCTCTCCCAAACGCCCTGTCCAGCCGCTCCCTACAGGGATCGAGGTCCAGAGGCTGGAGGCCAAAGGCTACCCAGGCAAGTGGTGACTCCCGAGGCAGAACCGCGGCCTCAGGTCGCACCACTAATGGTAGGAAAGATTCCGAAGCGATAAGTGGCGTAATCTGGGCACCGTCCTTAAAAATGAATAGGAAAAGGGTATTCGAGGGAGACTATCTCCTCCGCCCACCCTCCCTCTTCCCTCTTGCCCTCTTCCCACTGGGCCCCAGTGTCCATTCCACGCCTGATTTACTAAGAGAAGAGGGGAGGAGTAAAGCCTCTGATTGCAATTATTCGCTAACTCAAACGGACTTATTTACATGCAATTTGCATGTTCTTATGGAAGTACGCAACATGTCTGTGCTCCTCCTCTAACTGCGTACCCACGCCCGCCTGCCACTCTCAGCTCTACGCCGGGAGCCCCAGCCCCTTCTCCAGGAAAATTTACTTCCCTTTCGGCTTCCTTAGCCTCGCAAACTCCACCTCTTAGCTCCGCCTCCCAAAGACTGGCCCCTCCTTCCACCCGTAGGCTCCTCCCCTTGACCTCTTCCCCGCCCCCTCGCGCTTCCAAACATCTGTTCCCGCCCCCTTTCCTATTTCTGAACAGGCATGTCTCAGGCAGCTCACTGGACTCCTTAGATTACTATGGGATGGTAGAGGCCTGAGCGTCGGAGAAGCAGGGACGCATAGCCCAAGGAAAAGGGCTTGGATTTAGAAGAAGCAAGCCTTACTGGGGATATTTTTTGGGGGGCGATCTTGGTTATGTGGAGGGAGGAAGAGGAGCTTGTGTAGCCCGGCCGAACTTGAGGCAGCGCGAAGGCCCCCTCAGGCGGCGCCGGGGCAGCCCCCGCCGCCGGGGCCTGGTGCAGCCACCGCGG